CAGGATTTTTACACGAAGAGAACGATTTTACTCAATATCTCTAAAAATTTATCTAGATATATATATTCAGATATATCGAAAAATTTTTAGACACTTGAGAAAAACCTTCTATTCGTGAAAATATCCTCTGGCTACTGAGCCCTCCCACCACGTCAAGGTGTACCCTTGAGAGGGAAGATAATCTGAAAAATATATATATATATAGCTATATATATAGCTATTATTTATATTACAACGGAATGATTGCGTAGTAACTATGCGTAAATATGACGCGCAGCTCCGTGCCACCCCGTGTCATCCCCACTTCAAGGTCACGCGCCGATCATCTAACTCGAAATATTACCGTTAACACATATTACAAAATCAGTAAAATAATCTACTTGTTGCGTTTTAATATTCTTCGATGAATATTACACGATGCTTTATTATACGAATTACATTTTATTTCTTCTAAATTTGTTACGCACACAACTCATCTACGAGTATATCTTACAGACCGGTATTCATAGTCAGAGCTTATATTCAAGACCGTCTTAAATACAATTTTAAGAAATCTCGAATCAGAGGACCGTATTGGTCGGGAAGCGTCTTAAGACATTACTTAAGACAGACTTGAAATAAGAACGAATACCGCCCTTAGATATCTCTAATTTATATATCTGTAAATGTATAATATAAATTCTATTTACTAGTATATCCATTATAATATTTAGTCCAAATTGGTTTATAATATAAAAACATTGCGTTTATCTTTATTTAAAAAATGTATAATTTATTATTAATCTTTATATGAATGTAAAACATCAAAAAGAGTAATCAAGATTGAGATATAACTCTTAGTACACACCTTAGTTTGAGCGACATTACTATTTGGACATCCTTACATAATTAATCATCAATTTGCTTTCGTGAATATCGAATTTTCGTAGATTATAGCGCGACACCTGTAGCGACTGTGTCACCCATCCGTCTCCCTCAGCGGGCGCCGAGCGAATGCCGAAGTGATGACGTAGCGACATAGGTACGCTCCCCACCGCTTTTTGCCGCGCGAGCCTTCCCCTCGCTTCTCTCCGCGCGTCCCTTACCCTGGTTTTTTCCGCTCGGCACGTTCCCCCTCGCTTTTCGTTTGTTTAGATTACACCCAATTACTGCGTACGAAAAATATTCAACGGTTTATTCAATTATTTGTATTTTACATGATTTTGACAAACGAGTATCGCCGTACATTTCGCGCTTTGCTTTGTGGCATCTCTGGCACTTGTACCGATTTATTCAATCGTATTTTACTTGCATGGTTCTATTAAATGTAATTAATAATTATTCGCGTGAGATATATTTTGGATATTCCAACATTATGTCTGAATTTTCACTATTCTTTTCAACGTTTCTCTCATACTTAAATATAAAGATTGATAATATTCTATATATAAATTTATATACATGCAAATTTTCTTAATATTGCGAAACAATTTGCGCTAAATTAATACAGCTTTAAAGCGAAAAGTATTAATATTCTCTAATAAATAGTCTTTATTGCACGGTTTTTGCTTTATTTTTTAGATTTGTTATCATCGATATGATAATTTCGACACTAATTTGACATTATTTCGACGTTTAATTGACAATTATTTCTTGTTGGGTAATTAACAATTTACTCGTAAAGATTAAAAACTGTACGTTTCTTAAAATTATATATACCAAAAAGATGTGTATTAATTATAGACAATATATCATCTGAAAAATAATCAAAAATTAAAAATTATATTGTTTGAATGCTTAAAAAGTATTCGTACAATCAAAAAATTTAGCTCCTAAAATCAGGAATACATGCAAAGCTTATTTGTTTATGTTAGAACAGAATGTATTTAACTAATGTTTATTTTCCATAAAATTTTTTTTCTAAAAAATTTCCTTGTATACTTTTTGCTCTCACTGTTTATAGAACTTGTATATAGAATATAGGAATTACAAATCATTGTTTTATTTCAATAGATATCATATTTTTAATATACTTAGAATTCAATAAATCTCGCATTGCATATATTGCATTGCGAATTTAAATATACAATTTACGACAATATCCACTTTTTGCGGTACTCCTGATAGAAATAAATCCTACTAGTGCAGTCTGCCGAATTCGTTATAATAAAAATTTCAACGATTTCAGCGATTTATTTTCATCGGAAGCACCAAAAAAAATTGATATTGTTATGTAGTTTACATCCATTTCTTCAGAGGCCAGTAGTGCGCGGGGACATTTTGCAGTTACAGAAAAAGGCTCTCATATCTTCCTCTCTCAGGTTTCTGTTTGTTGTGATAAATCGTGAAATCGATCGATAGAATATTTATTTATATATTTAATACATTAAAAATAATTATGTGGTTAGCTAAGATGTAAAAAAGAAATACAAAGAACAAACAACTAAAACTGTTGGAAAATTTTAAACTTATAACCTACAAAACGATGTCTGCAGAAGAAAATTTTGAACAGGTGTTTACTTTTATTATTTTTCTTACATAAATTTAAATTCCATTATTATATTTATTTATGAACATAAATAATATTATATACATTATAAATTTGTAGTATAAATAGAGCCGAATACATTGTGAATTTCCTGTGAAAACACTTTACTTTAATTAATGCATTATTTTTTTTCTAAATATAGTTTATAGATGATTAATTAAAAGAAGTAAATATATTTTTCTAAAAAAAAAAATCCATTCAAGGAACTTTATAATTTTATACAATATAATAATAAGTTCTTGTAAATAATTGGAAATCAATTATTTATTACAATCATTTTTCTTGCTATATACTTATACTTGTCTATGTTGACAGTTTGAGGATGAAGAGGCAGAAATTCCAATCGGCGGGACTCTGCCTGGAGGAAGAAAACGGCTCTTTTCCAAGGAACTGCGCTGCATGATGTATGGCTTCGGCGACGATCAGAATCCTTATACAGAAAGCGTCGACCTGTTGGAGGATTTGGTTATCGAATTCATAACAGAAATGACACATCGAGCTATGGAGATTGGACGCACAGGACGAGTTCAAGTGGAAGATATTGTATTTTTAGGTAAGAGAATTTTATATTTAATTAAAAAATATTCTTAATCCTTCTAGTTGTAAGGAGAGTCGGATGCAATCTCCAGCTTTGTCTGTTTTACAAAACCCATGCACTGTTTAACAAAGAAGTTTTATGATATATATTATTAACTTCTTTTTATCTATTTTGTTATATTGATTAGATGAAATATGAACAAAACAGCATTCAGGGTTTGATTCAATCCAACTTTTTTAGATATCTTGAGAATTCACCTTATTATAAAAGGATTAAGTACCTAAATATCTAAATAAATATGTAAATTGTAAGCTTTCTGTTTTTTATAGAAGAGATATTTTTAATATATTATTTTTTCCAGTTTATAATTTATTAATTTGTTTATATTTGCAGTAAGAAAGGATTCCAGGAAATATGCCAGAGTGAAAGATCTTTTAACAATGAACGAGGAACTTAAGAAAGCAAGAAAGGCTTTTGATGAGGTTAAATATGCAGGTACTGTCAAAGATTAGACATACGATTGTAATGTTATATCCATCAACGAATGTAAAAATTGAATGCGTATATAAGTTTGTATTAATCTACTTGAATCATTTATTTAATTAAGAGAATTTTTCAAATCAGCATGTTCAATTTGCAAGTAGTATTAATGCAGTTTGTTTGATTACATAATTGCTCCGCATATACATTTCGAGTAAAGCAATTGTTTTTGATTAATTACATTTATTGCTGGGATAACGTCGCTTTAGTTTGCAATAACTTTATATAATTGTTTGCAGGCAGACACTTTATTACTATCTTTTGTTACAGATAAATAGTAAAATTTTTTTATGTTCCTAAATATAAACTGTTCAGCTAAAAAAAAGCAGTAGATAGAGTAAATTTTTCAATAAATAAATAATAAAATATTAAAATAATTTTACACTACTGCAAAATATATTAATTGATAAGAACATAATGAAAAGCAGAAAATATCATTTTCGAGAAATGCCTTTTTTATATTATGCAAAACAAATTTTTTTGTTAGCTCTTCGGAAAATTTTATATATATGCTTTATTTGTACATTAATACTCTTAATAAAGTTACGTTATATTTCGCAGAATAACATACATACTGTACATTTAATACAACTACAACTCTTCTAATATATATTTTCGTATCGTATTTTTATTTTTGCACAACAAAATATTTATTTACTATTATTATCATTTACATTACGGACTATATTTCATTCAAAGATTATGTTTTTATTTTAACTTTGTAACATGATTTTTTTGCATGATTTGGTATGATTCGGCATGGACAGCGTTTGCATGTAGTTTTTCTTGATTTATTTTTTATGTGTGCCATTATTAGTTACCTACCATTTTCAAATCAAGCGATTTTGCAATTATTTTGCAACATTATAAACAGCCTGTTTTGCTGACAGAATAACATCATTAAGTCCCACACCTTGATAAGAAGAACCGCACAGTGCCAGGGGAATATGATGTGCGGAAATATAATCATGGATGCGTTTTACACGGGCGTTATGACCCACGACGTGTTGTGGAATACAGTCCTTGAGAACGGCAACGTTGTATGCGATTGGTTCCTCTTCGATTTGTAAGATATTCTTGGTGTGATTAATCGCCGTCGTTAACAATTGTTCTTTCGATGGATTTGACCCGAAATATTTCTCGAACCATGCACCTCCCATCATCACCGTCAATACCTAAATCATAGTCATATTTTATACGTTAATTTATTATCATTGAAAAATATTTTTTTTTTTTACATGTTGCATAATTTATAATTCTAATTTATAAGTGTAGTACACATAAAAATAAAAATTATATTAGAAATAAAGATTGAATCGTACTGTGAGTGAATTACATAACTAAAAAGCAAATAGTAAAATTGTTTGGAGATATGTGTGCATACTGTGGAAGATCCAGGGAATATACAGGAGTCAAAGATTACACCTAACAGAGGCAGATTTTCTTTTGGCGGTACGAGGAAGCCGAATGCTTGGAAAGGTAATACATCTCCCTGGAATTCAAGATTAACTACTCCCATCGTTACGGTAGGTATCGCTTTCAATTCCGCCGACAGTTTAGGATGTTGTTCTTGCAATAGCTCGGCTAAGTCCTTTGCGCATAAGCTTGAAATAACGCGTGAACATTCCTGAAGATTGCCATTAACCGACAGTTCTACGCGATCTGATTTAAATGTAAGTTTTTCACACTTTTTCTCAGTCTGTATCATCACTCCTCGACTCTTAACATAATCGGCTAGTGCCAAAGGTAATTGCTCGAGTCCTCCTTGCAAGCCCCACATCAACCAATGTTCGTTTCGCGATCTCCTCGGCAAGGTCGGTAATCTTGCTACAAGCATTTTGTCAACCTTCATTCTATGATATAAACTGCCTATCGAAAAAAGCTTTTTCAATAGGTCTACTACCACGCCTTTCATTATCGAGCCATGTTTCTGTTCCATCTCAAACAGGTATTTGAATAGAAAAATCATATTGACGCTTATTTCATGTGCATCTCCCCCACAGATCCCACAGATCATAGGGCTGATCCAGTTATCTGCAATATCCTGGCCAAACTTCCTCTGAACGAAGCTGTGAATGCTTTCGTCCTCCTTAAATACTTTAGGAGCCCTCAAATCCATCCATATGTAGTTTATCAAGGTACCAAGCGACGAGGGTGTGAAGATATCTTTTAAGGTACGTGGTACAACATGCAATGTCTCATCCATGTAAATGAATCGATTCTTTGCAATATGATTCCTATCAGCATGAATTAATTTGTCATTTAATTGCAGACGCTCTACCAAATCGAGGGTGATCATCCCAGATAAACCAGATGGTCTTATAGTTCTTGGTCCTTGCTCGAAAATCGCTCCACTTGGTGAGCTTCTACTACGTATCCACCCACCCAAGCGATTAGAAGCCTCCAGTAAAATAACAGACGAAAGTCTTGTATTGTGAATAGCATAATATGCTGCTGACAGCCCTGATATGCCACCTCCTAGTATTACTGTCATTTTAATAGCTCAATAACTCCGATAAATAATTTGAACACAATAATCAGCAGTCAGCACAATATTAGGTGATTAACAAATAGGACTTTACAATATTTTACTTTATTGTACAAATATATATTTATATGTATTATTATTGTATAAAATATAAGAACCAACTTATTCAAATAAAATAAACTCATGCTGAATCATTTGTAGAATAATGATTTATTTAGTGCGTCTTATAGAAGTGTGTTGCTGAAAAAATAACAGGAACAACGATAAAATAATTAATTTTTAGAAGATTTTTAAAAAGGCGCTTTAGAGATAATAACTAAGGTTATGTTTAACAGGCAGAAATACGTACGAAATACGAGATCGCTCCTTTTAGCTGTATTGTTATCTTTTTGCTTCAAACTTTCTATTCTCGCTTCCTTTAAATTAAATTTCTAAATGAAATACAATTGTTTTCTCACAAATAAAACATTCTATGAAAAAATTACAGCCACAGTACATAAGAAGACTTATATGATTGCCAGTGTTGTACTTTGCAGCGTATTTGATTCGCGCATTCATCTATTATCGAATATTTCCAGATATAAATTTTCTTTATTTGTGCATCATATCTCGCAGTTGCGTGACAATCCGATTAACAAGAAAAATAAGAGTGAAAATTATTGAAAGAAATATCAGTTTGTAAAAAAATGTAATAGAATATCTATCATTCGTGAAGGAAAAAACCATTATTAATTAATTCATACAAGTTTATTAAGTTTTGTGCTAAATAATAGATTGATACAAAATCTATATAGATTCGATTATATTCTTCTTTTGTTAATATAATTTTAAATAAAAGCGTTTTACAAATTATACATTTAAATAATACTTTTCCAATGTAATAATTTAAGTAATAATTTAATATTCCTATCTCTTTTTCATATCTTTTGATATTTAAAAAAATTTCAAGAAAAATCACCGGGAAAGATAGAGATTCTTAATTTCCCGGGAAAAATAACATTCCAATAATCAGTTAATCACGATGCACGAGTTATATCTAGACGCGCAAAGTCGTTAGACACGACGTCGTTAGACGTCATACAATACATACACTCGTACGAGCGAGGATTGGTGGTCTCTTATGGTCTCTTTCTGGAATTGACCATTGACTGACGTCGCCGTGTCGCCCGTTTCGTGAGATGTTGCAACAATAGTGTGAGCAAACGTGAGCAAACGTGAACAAACGCCAGGAAACTCTGCACTCTATATGTGACGAGTGCGAGCTTACTGTCTACGGATAGTAGCGATAGTACGGA